ATCATGCCACAGCATTATAGATTGTTTGGACCTTATGAGGACAATGTGTGGTGAGCAGTGATATCAGGTTTGGGAGCATCTGACTACATCGTGTTCACAAGCAGGTCTGATACGGGTCAGAGATTCATCATACAGAGTGACATCATCACACTTTTCAGACCCAGTAACCTTTAATGGGATGTTGAGTGATGTTAAACAATAACCAACACTATGAAGTGCAAGGAACCGTACTTTTGGACTCCATGGCAGACAATCAGCCCTAACCAGATGGTAGGGGTGCGAGGTGACAGGGTGGTATCTCAGAGGACATAAGATTGAAGCTGAGCTTTTAAAGATGAATCATTTTCATTACACAAGAAGCCGAGGAATAATCTTCTCTGAGGAAAGAAACATGTACAAAGATAGACAAGGTGTGAGACTTGGTGTATTCAGAAAATACAGAGGAGTCTTGCTGTTCAGTGCTGTTGAGTTGGTTCCAACTCATAGTGACCCTGTGAGTGGCTGGTGGGTTTGAACCTCTGACCTTGTGGCTAGCAGTCCAATGTTTTTACTACAACACTACATAGAGAAGTCTTGTTGTTGTTGTTTAGAGCCATCGAGTTGGTTCCAACCCACAGTGACCTTTTATAGGTTTCTCGAGGAGTGGTTGGTGAGCTTGAACCACCAACCTTGTGGATCAAACCGACTTTGTAGTCCAGCGCATTAATCCAGTGCCACACCAGAACGCCACAAAAGAGGAGTCTTTGCTGTTGTTGCTGTTAAGTGCTGTCTAGTCGAATCTGACCCACAGCAACCCTGTATAGGGTTTCTGAGGAGCAGCTGGTGATCTTGAACCACCGACGTTGCAGTTGAAATGACTGCAGGCTGGTGCATAAACCCACAGCGCCACACCAGGACTGCTAGTCTCCATGGCTGGTTATCTGTGTGCCATGGAGTTGAACCACCAACATTGCAGTTGAAATGACTGCAGTCTGGTGCATAAACCCACAGCGCCACACCAGGACTGCTAGTCTCCATGGCTGGCTATCTGTGTGCCATGGAGTCAGTTCTGACTCACAGCGACCCTGTACAGGGTTTCCAGAACTATAAATCTTTACGGGGGCAGAATGCCTCATCTTTCTCCAGCGGAGCAGCTGGTAGTTTTGAACTGCTGACCTTGCAGTTCGCAGCCTGATTTGTAACCAAAAATTGCTACTGCCGACTACATTTCAAGTCATCATGTCAGGGTATTGGGAAAAGTTTTCAATTAGCAATAATTGCAATTTGGAAAAAACCTCATATTATTCAGGCCCAAGTGGACAGCAGCTAAACTATAAAGTAAGGTGGGGCCAGGTTGTCCACTGCCTTGGATGCTGTAGATGGTCCAAAGTTCGTCACCATGACTTCCTCCCCTTCCAGGACTAGTATGCTACTAACCCATCAAGAAGTGACTTCTCGGCCTCCATGCCTTGAATCTGGCTGGCCTGTGACTCTCAGATTAATGTTGCTGTATCAATCCTGGGCCCTGGCAGTTATGTTTGCTCTCTCAGAACCCAGCTGTCATTCTGTGAGAATTTCCTGGGGAGGCATGAGAACATGTCATCTTAGATGTCCAGCCCATTTGCCTCTGATGAGTCCAATCCCAGCCAGCATCTGACATCCTAAATTCAAACCACCCAGGCTAGACCAGTGGCATTCTTAGAAGTTGTTGTTAAGTGCTGTCAAGTCGGTTTCAATTCATAATGACCCTGTATAGGATTTCTGAGAAGTGGCTGGTGGATTGGAACCACTGAGCTTGCAGTCTACTGTTTAGTCTAAAGCACCACATCAGGACTTATAAATAAATGATAGCAATAAACTCTTGCCCCGAGTCCCTACATTTTGAGTCAATTTGCCATGCAGCAATAGATAACTGGAATGGGGGTTTTGTAAATTATCCAAGGTATAATCTGAAGAGATTTGATATTGGTGACTTCAAAAAATTGTTTTCTTTTTGAAACAAACAAACCTAAGAGGGTGGGGTGGAGTGGGGATACATTGAAAATTGGGTGATTCAGTTAATGTGCTCGACTGAAAGGTTGGAAGTTCGAGTCCAAAATCAGCGACTGAAAACCCTGTGGAGCACAGTATCACTGACACACCCAGGACACCTTGAATGGAATCTCCTTATGAAAACACATCCATTGAGAACCCTGTGGAGTCCAACACTACTCTGGCACACGTGAAGTCACCATGAGTGGGATCTACTTCTGAAAACTCAGCCACTGAAAACCCTGTGGAGCATAGTTGTATTCAGGCACACTTGGGGTTGCCATGAGTTGCAATTGATTTACTGGCCAATCTCTTTGATTTCCTTTGTTTCTTTCAGCATGTTAATGCTCTTGGGAGACAATGTGATGTTCTAGAAAGAACCCAGTTTTGTAGAGCTACCTGAATCAAATAATTACTGTGTCACCCCAGGAGCTGTGAGACTGAAGACAAGTCACTTTAGGGACTAGTAACTGTGATTGCCCAGATCCCCTTTCTGAGGCCAGTGTAAAACCCCACTGCCATCTACTTGATTCTGACTAATAGTAACCTATGTAGGGCTTCCAAGACTACATCTTTATGGGAGCAGATAGTCTTATCTTTCTCCTATGGGAACAGATGTTCAGTTTAAACCACTAACATTTTAACTAGTTTAACCGAGAGGCTGTGAATTTTGTCTTCTGGTTGACCTCTTCCCTCAGTTGACGGCCAACATCATGCCCTGAAAAATGGCAACTCCCTTCTGTCATTCTAAATGACAACTCACCTTCTAAGTGTCATTCCAAAAATGACACACTGTCCAGGGGATGGTGTCCAGCTAATGACTCTCTGGTTTGGAGGTACAGAAGACTGGCCTCTTCTTTCAAGAAGAGGTAACTCTTCAGTGAGGTTTATTTTTCAAAGCTTCCTTCCATGATCCTGATCCAAGAAGCAGCTTCTCTTGGCTCCTTCCTTTTCCCTCTTCTGCTTCCCCTATTTCCATGGGTCTCCCCATGAAGAGCACACCTGCAATAACCATGTACCCCCAAACCCCATTCTTAGACTTTGCCTCTTGGCGGGGTCCTGGTCTAAAGTATTTTATCTATGGTGGCTTCCCTCTTCCAGATATTTGTTTGCAGAATTTGCTGAGATAGTAAAATTTGTTGTTGTTGTGTTGTTAAGAGTTGGTTCCGACTCATAGTTACCCTGTATAGTGTTTCCCAGGAGCTGCTGGTGAGTTTGAACCACCAACCTTGCAGTTAAAAATGACCTTGCAGTCCAGTGCTTTATCCCACAGTGCCACTGCAGCCTAGCACAAAATCAACACCCAATAAATACTAGCATAGCTCCTGTTCTTAGGGTCTATGGAGTCAGCCCCTGACTCACGGCAACCTCATGCACTGTGGAATAAAATATCATCTGGTCACACACTATCCCTGTGATTAGTTGTGGACCAGATCATTGTGACACATAGAGTTTTCATGGATTAATTTTGGGGAGTAGATCCTAGGTCTTTCTTCTTTGTCTGTCTTAGCCCAGAAGCTTTGTTCAAGCCTGTTCAGCACCAGAGTAAAACCACTACATTGGGGCTAATGCTACCCTGTTTGTGTGTTCATTCATTGCAGTAGTAACTCCTCCTTCAGTTGTCTTTCAGATACCAGCAGCCACTTAGACGATAAGCAGCCAAAACCAGACTCAATTAGTTTGGTGCCCCACATATACACACAGAGCCAACAAAACAAACTTAACCACCCCAGTAAAACTTCCTGGTTTTCCAGAGCACAAAACCCCAACATTTCATGTACACCTGCACAGTGAATTTAAAATTGCATGACCCTTTAAGTTGAAGTGTACACAAGTTCAATCAACCACTAGTCTTACTTCACCCCTTTTTTATGAGTATGTACAACTTACTTGTCCATTTCCCTATAATTCTGGAAATTCCCAGATGTTTGAGGAGTCACATCTGAGGAGCAGTTCACCTGGCTCCTTGTTCAGCGCTTTGAAATAAAGTTACTTTCGCTTTCTTAAAGACTGGTGTCCAGAGATAGGATTTCTGTATGCACTGGGCAGGGACCCTTTTGCATTCATTGATAATAATAACATGCAAGCCTCCACTGATAGATGGTTGCGCCTGCGCTCGATTGGTCAAAAGCCACACCTGAGTCTTCCACAAGGAAGGTGACACAGCCACTTCAGAACCTACTACTACCTCTTCCTCTTTAGTCCACAGTGGAAAAATACAAGGAAAGATTTTTTAAACAAAAGAGGTCCACATGTAAATATCCTATACTCTGTATACAACAGATCTCAGAGAAACAGGCAAGTACCTGAGGCCATACTGCTTTTGGAAGTGGGAATATTAACCCCTACTTTGTGTAGCTGCGTGAGGATTAACGGGAACCATGTCTGTGAGCATTAAGAACTTTAGGCACCGTTGTTAGCTGCAGAGTAAGCACTCACTGAGTGGAACCAACGAATTGTCATTGAATCACCTCCAATAGACCTGTGTTCCATCTGCTTTTCCAATGGTTGGTTTTTTGGAAGTAGAGTGACAAACCTTTCATCTGAGGTGCCTCTGGGTGAACTCAATCTCTAACCATGTGCTTAGCAGCTGAAGAAATACATTAACCACTGGCGCCGTCTAGAGGAGCCACCATTCATTGGATGGCAAGCTTCTGGAGCACAGTCCTTCCTTTCCCATCACTGTAGCCTCAGCTAGCACAGTGACTGGGGCAGAGAGCTTGCTGTTGGTGGTGCTATTGAGTTGGAGCAACTGATGGGTTTGAATTGCTGACCTTGTGGCTAGAAGTCCAGTGCTTATCTACAGAGCTACACCAAGACTCCAAAGGCACCTCTAAATCGGAATAATAAGGAACTTACAGCTAATGGCACAGGGAATCATGTTTTTAGAGAGTTGGCACAGGTTTTCCAGTTATAGCCCAAGCTTACTGCTTCTCCTCACTGTGAGCAGATTTCTCCCCATGTACTCACAAACAGCCAGATTCATTGCCTTGGTTGTTAACACAGTTTATTATTGGCACACTTATCAGTAAAGCATACATAAAATACAGCTGTTTGATAACACACGGAGCCACTGTGTCTTAACATGTGTAGAGGAACATATTAATATGCAAATGGAAAAATTAGTTCTCTTATAAAGTTTCACATAAATACACTGGAATTGCCCCAAAGAGAAAAGTCCCCATCAAATAATCAGCTGAGGGCTTTACAAAATATTATACAAGAAATATACTGTGGAAAGAAAGAACAGTCAACTCAGGTACAATCATAATAATAATTAAAACAAAACACAAAAAAGTTTCAAATTTATTAAACTGCCCACAAAATTAATGGATTACATGGCTTGAAAATATTTGGATCAAAAGCAATGTATACATTCTCCTGGGGCCAAGTGTCTTTCTTCACATAAAAATCTGCCTTTGGGTCCTTAATGACCAAAAGATCTTTCTTGTGCCAACTCTCAGGCTAAATTATTCCAGAACCAAAAGACATCTGTGCAACCATCAGTGTCTTTGCTGGGCCCTCTTAGCTGTTGTTCTCCAGTGAAAGCAAATGTGAAGAAAAGGAAAAGTAAGGTCCATGGAAATTACTCTCCGAAAGTGGATTTTTTTTTTCTTTTCTTTTTTTACAGAAACAAGAAACTTTCAGATGCAAGTTGAAAAGCAGAAACTATTTTACAAGAGTAAAAAGTCATCGGCATAACTCATGGGATCCTGAGCACTCAGGGCTTATGGGGAATATGGCCTTTGTTGGATGCGTGAAAAGGAAATTCAACACAAACCTGGCGTGAAAAAAACCCTAGCAGGCGCTACGCTAGCATTTGTTGCCTTAATTACAATCTGTGCCTGTATACGGATGGATGTGTTACCTGCAAAGACCTCCAAGGAAGGGTCATAAGAGCTTAATTGGAATGATCCTCTCAATTAATAATAATAATAAAAAAAGTGAAAGAAAATCAGATCATTGTGGCTAAGATATGGATATTGACATGGACACGAGATTTTGTACTTCTCTTTTCTCTCCTGTCTGTAAAGATTTGGAACAGTAAATCCGGAAGCCTTGGTCTACTGAGAGTAGATTGGGGGACAGGATGCTCTTACTGGGAGGCCTGGGGTGGGGGGTTTTCTGATTTTGTCTCTTGAATGGCAGGTGGTTTACTGTTCCAAGGGCTGTTGTTTCCCAGGGCGGGGGAATTGTTGAAGTCTTCTTCGTCGTCCATGCCGTTGGCCGCATCATACTGCGTGTTTTCTAATCTAGTGATTAGCCTTTCGTCCTCGTCCCCAAACTCTCCTCCCATCAGAGTTGGCTCGCCTACCACCATCACATCCTGTGAACAGCAGCTGACATTATTACAGGGAAACCTTGGGAGAGAGAAGTTCAGCGTAAAACAATAGTGAGAGGCGTCGGGGGAAGCTAGGGCAGATACTCTTGGGTAATAATGTACAATGGGGTCAAGTGTTGAGGTTTGGGGTAACGGGGGCGGGTTGAGATGAATAGTTGATTTCTACAGGAAATAAATACCGCCTCCTACTGTGTAGCAACCAAGTGAGTTTATGAGCTATGCTAGCAATCTGCAGAAATAAAAACATAGACTTGCCAAGCTTTACCTTATAAAAACACCCCACATAAAACAAAGCCATATTGTTAACTTGCTGCCATTAGGAATATTTTAGAGGGCTGTGGGTGCTTTGCCACACCTCCAAAATCTCCCATTCTTATTTAGGGCATGGGGATGGCATGGTTTAACCAAGTGAGCGGCAACCAGAAATATCTGTAGGCTGCCTCTCTGTAATTGTCACATCGCACTTTCCAAATGGTGTTTTCTCTGTCCCAGGGATGGCATAGACTTTAGCTGGAGACAGAGTCTCTCCTTTCTCTCCTCAGCCAGGCCCTTTTACGCAGCCAATATCCTTGACATTCTGCTACTTAATTATGGTAATTAATTTAGGTAAAGTTTTCGATAAAAACAATGTTCACACTGATTTGACAATTTGCATAGCTAATTAAGTCATTAGCAAAAACCTGCTGATTGCCAACAAGCCCTGGATTTACCATCTGTTATTTCATAGTGCCTGTCACCTATCCCCACACAGACAACCGTGCCACCAATCTGGGCAGTAAAGAGGACCCGTCTGTCCAGCTGGTGCCGTACAAAGCGGATGAAGAGCCCTCAGTATAATTATACTGATGAAACTGGTCGTCATCAAAAAGGGGAGCGTGCAAGAAGAATCCATCTCATCACTCCTTTAAGCACACATTGTCCTTCCATGCAAACAAGGAAGCCACCTACTGTAGCTGGGAGCATCTTGGAGGCCACACCTGGAGAGGCACAGGGACGGGGGAGAAAGATGCATACACAGGGCACAGCTCCGGCCTCTTTGTTCAAAGGGGACCATATGGGGTTGATGGGTAACCTGGGCATGGGACAGGACACTGGTCAGATGGACACTCTGGGCAGGCTCTGAGCAATTCCACTTAAAAGGGCAAAGACTCCATGAAGGTGATCAACCGCCATTAACCTCCATGGAGGTCCGGGAAAGCAGGGCCACCGTGTGTTTGGAGATGGAATGCTGGCCTTCCTGCTGGGGATGCAAGTTCCATTAGAGGTGCCATTACAGCTGGACAAAAATGCTGTCCCATGGGGCTTTGTCAAAAGAGGGCTTTCCTAGGGGGTGATACAGTAGAACACTGCTTATGGCCAAGAGAAGATCCTGAAGGCTTTAAATCCCCTTTTACATTTTGCAAGTGCCCCCTGAAAATCTCTCTTCATTTTCACCTGGTCTCTTCTGGAATCAGGAATGTTATTTTAGTGACTCTTCTTTCTCGTCCCCCTATGCAATGGTGGAACTGGAAACTGTAGAATTAGAGGAGGCCAAAAGTGGGATTTCTGACTAATCATTCTTGGGAACTGATGAAGATGATTCTCAACCGAAAGAGTCTGACCTTGGAAAGCCAGCCATGAAGGTATTGGTAAAGGTACTGGTAGGGTATACCACTGTGTGCATCCAAGAACATCTTTATTTTGTAGTGAAGAACCAACCAGGCACTAACATGTAAGGAGACTCATAAAGACTCTTGAAGGTGAGATGCGATAGACACAATGCTTCCATGTCAAGGATTCTGACAAGACTGTAGATGGACTTTGGCCATCACAGAGATGTGAACATTATTGGGTTAGCTGGGGAAGCTGCCATTTTACCCACTGGAAATGTTCAATATAAACAGAGTGTCACTTAGACACAGGTAATTAGGAGATTATACTAATAATCATCAGGAACACAGGTAAGTGGCAAGAATATGGTGAGTTTGGCCAGAGGATGACATGGGGGGTTAATCTCATATCATGACTTGTGTCCAGCACATTTTGAAGGGCTTGGAAAATACATGCATAAGGTTTCATGGGGCAGGAGAAGGCTGTTAGAAGCATCCAAGTGGATCTGCATTAGTATCATGACTGAAAAACTGGGAGAGAGGCTGGGAGAACATGAGAAGGTAAGCATCATTTCAGAGACAAGAACAGAAATAAGACACCAACTTAAGCATGGCTTTAGAAGGAAAGTTTGTCACCTTCCGATGCATTATGTTAGAAAACAGCAGTCATTCACGAAGAAGTCCTATAAAAAATGTGGTTTGAATGTCTTCAAGTGAGGCTGACGTGTGTTTGTGATATGTTTGCTACATCTTTGTGTTATGAACTGCTGGAAAAGATGACCATTTTTAAGCATCCTAAATGTCAGAAAATGCCACATGATTGCTTATGTAAAACACCCCTAGCTAGGTACCTAATCGTGTGTGTGTATGCACATGTATGCTTATGAGTGATTATTAGAAGGTGATCTCTGAAAGAGACACATGGATTTACACTGAGGACTTCAAATGCACCAGGATACTGGAGCCCACTTCCCCACATATGAGTGTGTACACATCTCTACCTGATCCCTCTAAGTCGCTAGACTAGGATAGCTTAGGATGGGCTAAGAGAGTAGAGTGGTTTCTGGCCATCTCACACCAACTACATAAAGTCCCAGTGGGCATTGTGAACTCTTTCTAGTTAGGGGATGTTGGTGGCACCTTCCCCACCCCCACATCTTTCAAAAGCCCCCCAACATCAGTAGTGAGAGTATATTGCCTTTCCATCTCTGCTATCTTATGCACCCCACAGGAGGCAAGATGGATCTCTTTGCAAGCCCAGATGCCCTCGGCTCTCCAGGAGGCTGGAGACTTGCCACCAGCTCTTGCCCGTGTCACATCTTCTCACTAATCCCCCGTGCAAGGACCACCAACCTCTGAGGAGGACTGGAAGTGACTCCTTTCAGGGCCCCTCAATGCTTCTCCTTAAATTGGCCAGAAGGGGTCACTGCTGTTGAATGACACAGGTCTCCATCCCTCCCAGGGTTGAGGCTGCAGTTCGGGATGGCTCCTAGCCCCTGCTCATGGAGTGAGAAGCAGAATCCAAGGGTTAAACCCTAGTCCTCACCAGGCACATGCACTGCTATCGCGATAGCTGAGTGGACCGCGGCTGTGCTCACTGTTACTCACTGAGCCTGCCCATCACTTTGGAGCAGGCAGGGAAACCTATAGATTGTATTTCTATTTAAACAATAAAATATGGTTGATAATTCAGTAGACCGAGTTAAATGATGTGCTCGTACAAGTCACCCAATCTTTGATCATTGAAGGTTCACTCAACTAGAGCTCACAGAAGGATTTTGACATTTCTTAACCTGATGGCTTTCCTTGACTATCTTGGCCATATTTATGCTTTACTTCATTAAAATAGTTTACACGGTGTGGGGATCATGGTAAAATTCATCTCTCACTTTCTAATGGTGTCTTGTCTTCTGAATGTCCAAAATGTCTCTACTCAGTAAAAACTCTCTTGATACAAATATCCTCTACTAAAATGTAGTGGTTGGTTTGGTGGAGAGGGACATTATACAGTAGAAAAAAAACCCCAAAAAAACCCATGTGTTCCCTAGTGTTTTTTTCAAAAGAAGTTATTCCAACTAAAATATCTTCTCCATCCATGGAAGACATCACTAATGGATGGCATGGCAGATAACACTGATGGACATTACTAATAGATGGCACACCAAACTCAATCTGGGACTCAGAGACCTAAATACTGTATTCTGTGCAGTTGACACCCAGGGATAGAGCTCTCAGGAGAAAGGAACTCTTTTTGCTGTCCTTAGATTAGACACTGAAGTCTTCAATGATTTAATTTATTTCTTGGAAAATTTTGGCCTAGTCTAGTGCAGGCCACATGAGTAAACAAGTCAGTGTATGTGTTCATCTGAATTCTTGCAGCAACAATGCCTTCAAGTAGTTCTGCCACAGTTCCAGAATTTTCTGGAATTTATTTTCCAAATTTGTTAGATGAAACTAATGAATGTTAGCTTCTAAACCTCCAGGATTAGATGAAGCAATAGGCAGTGTGTGTGTTCTTTTTCAGGACTGGGTATAATTTATCCCTGCATTCAGAGAGAGACTCAGTTTTTCTCATTTGATTTTTCTCCCCCTGGCTCTTTAAGGATGACAGGTGTGAAATCCAGTTGAGAGAACCGAAGAGACATTGGAATTGTTTGAGAGCTCGAATCCCCAATGGCCTTATAGATTTCCAATGGTTCCTCTCCCAGCAGACTAGTCACTCTTCCCATGACCCCTTCTTTCTACTGTGGTGGGAATAGAAACCATACTCCCTGTCCATGGAAGACAGGAGAAAAACTCCAACGACTCAGGTAGTTCTCAGGTTATTGATGGGGCTGCTTTGGGCCAAAGAGGACTGACCAGTGAAAAGTGGTTACAAATGAGTGGGGACAGGCTTGGAAGCATCTCTGAAAGAAAACAAGGAACTGCTTGTCAAGGTTCTACTCACATATGGAGAGTGAGCAGGATCAGAACAAGAAAGTGAGAACAGACTAAGTGGGGGAGGGGAATGAAAGAGGGAAAAGCTAGAGCTCTATTGGCTGAGAGAAGGAACAGGAACAAGGAACATGCCCAAAGATGCAGTGACAAGGAAATATATATATGAAGTACTCCGAAAGTGTCAAGATTCAAATGATAGTTAAACATTTAGTGACGGAAGGAAGTAGACATGGCGGCAAAGGAGAGCCCACAAGAAATAAATGGTGGATGGGAGAAGGGAAAAGACGTGTGTAAGGGGACTGAGCATTTCAAAGCAATACATGATGTAACAGTAGGTCTGAGAATGGGTCAGGACGGCTCCAGGCAGACAGAACAGTGTTTGGGAAGAAGTCGGAAGACATGAAGGATCATCATATTGAGGGATGGGAAATTCCAACACAGTTTATACTGTCTGGTAACTACTCTTGACTGTCACCTTTGGGGTTCAAAGACACCTCTTTTCCTAGTGGCCTGCTTCCTTTGCCAAGACACTGAAATAAAAGAAAGGGGTCAAGAGATCAAGAGAGCTGAGCTGTAATTTTCATGCCCAGGACTGATCTTCCCCCTGCGCTAATGAAATGGGCAAAGTAAAATCCACTGGGCTGCATGTTTAATGGCTGTGAGGTAATTAACTGAATCTTAAAATAGGAGGGAACACCCATGTTGGGAAGGCCCGAGTCAAATTATGATACGGAACCTGAGCTCGGGGAGCTCACATCCGCTGGAGCTCAGGGTGTCCGATGTGGGTGATGGGCAGCCCTAATCGGCCACTAGGCATGCTGCTAAGTGATATTTTAATTAAACCTTAAGTGACATACCTCCTGTCTGAGACTGAGATGGCTTTTTAATTCAAGTTCCACTGCAGCAAAGACTCCGAATATAGGCAGTCCCCAGGTTACAAAGGAGATCCGTTCCTAAGTGTGTCTAAGGTGAATTTGTAGGTAAGTCGAAATAAGTACCTATGTTTCTTATCTGCTGTTGTTGTAGTTAAGTGTCATTGAGTCAGTTCTGACTCAGAGCGATCCTGTAGAGGCTGAGGGATTTGAACCGCCAACCTTGTAGTTTACAGTCCTACAGCACCACACCAGGTCTCTGCTGATTCCTATTTAGCTTTACTTTAGTTCAAAGGGGGAGCCCTCGTGGTGTAGTGGGTTCTGAGTTGGGCTGCCAGCTCCAAGTTTGGCAGTTCAAACCCATCATCTGCTCCTTGGGAGAAAGATGAGGTTGTGTGCTCCTACAAAGATATGAAGTCTCAGAAACTCAAAGGGGCAATTCTGCTCTGTCCTATAGGATTGCTATGAGCTAGACTTGATCCCATAGCAGTAGGTTTGGGTTCGTTTGTTGTTTTTTAGTTCTAGATTGAGTTCAATGCTTTAGAAGGTTCAGGTGCAGTAAGTGAAGGCCACGATGATGAAGAATTTGTTGACTCAGGATTGGTTCAGTCATTTCTAAGTGGGGACATTTTGCTTAACATTAAAGGGCAAGTTGAAGCTATCTTGAGCCCTGGTGTGGCGCGGTAGGATAAGCATTGGACTGCTAATGCAAGGTTGGCAGTTCAAATGCGCCAACTGCTCTTGAAGACCCTATACAGGGTTGATATGAGCCGGACTTGACTCCACAGCACATTACAATAACAACAGGAACTCTCTGATGTTTTATAACCCCGGGACTGTTTGCATTCCTGTCTGCCTCCCTGGCTGCAGGGGAAGGTTTCTAGGGTGAGTTCCTCCCACCATCCCAGCTCCTCCCCAACCCTCAACCTGGCCAGCTGTTTCTGCAGCTGGAAGAACAGGCCCCTGGAATAGGAAGACAGGCAAAGGCGGGAGGTCAGGCCTACAAGGAAAGCGAGACTTACAGGTACCTGACTGGAAAGGCTCAGGTTGGGGGCCGGGGTCTTCTTCTTGCTGCTGGAGCTGTTGGCTGTGTTCCCAGCGCTGCTGTTGGAGGTACTGCTAGTGGAGTTTTTCCTTTTTCTCCGTTTTGTGGTCGGTTGCCTTGTGGGTTCTGCTGCAATATGAGAAGGGGAAGAAGGATCAGTTCTAGATGAAAGACATCAGGACCACTGACCACTAGGATCCACACCCTCCAACCGAGCTGTGTTTGTCAATTAAACAGAATAGACTATTGACATTTTCCCTGGTTTTCTTCTAAAATTCGCACATACACACACACGAGGAGAAAGATGTTGATTTATTTTTAGTACTAAACTATATGGAGCTCTTTTCTCTTCTATGGAGCATGGTGGTGGCTCTGTAGGATAAGCACGGTCTTGCTGACCACAAGGTCAGTGGTTCGAGACTACTGTCCCTCTGCAGGAAAACAGATGAGGCTTTCTACTCCCACAAAGAGTTACAGCCTGGGAAGCTCTATACAGGGTCGCTGTGAGTTGGAACAGACTCAATGTCACTTAACAACAATGACGACAACAAAATGAATGTTTATTGTCCTTTCTGATTTCATATATATATGACTGCAATTTATTCATGGATTTCAGGGGTGAGTTATGAATACATCTTAATGCTGACAGTGCTTTTATTTTGTTGTTGTTGTTAAGTACCATCGTGGAGTCAGTTCTGACTCATAGAGACCCTATATAGGGTTTCCAAGGAGCAGCTAGTGAGTTTGAACCACCGACCTTTAGGTCCAAATCGACCTTGAGGTCAAGTGCTTATCCTATGTCACCACACCAGACTTAAAAAAAATATTATTACCATTACAAAATTTGGAATTTTGTTTTACTTGCTCTTCCTTCTCTATTTTGCACAGGAATGTGGGCAGTGCTGCGTTCTGTTGAACATAGGGTCACTCTGGGTCAGAGCTGACTCTAGGACAAATAACAACAACACCACCTCTCTTTCCACTCCCTGTCTGTTTCCTTTACCGTGGTGACCTCCCCATTGCTAGAGTGCTGGGAGCGTTGCTACAGACATTTCAAATACCAGTAGGATCACCCGTGGTAGACAGCTTTCAAACTAAGATGAACGTGAAAGAAAGACCTGGAAATCCACTTTGAAAAATTAGTCAGTGAAGACCCTATGAATGACAACAGAATCTTATCAGAGTTGGTACTGGAAGATGTGCCTCCTAAGTTGGAAGACACTACAAATACACAACAGCCACAACACTGAAGTCTGGAATACCAGCTGTTGTAATGAAGATGTCACAGGACTAGAAGGTGTTTTGTTCTGTTGTACCTGGGATTGGAAACAATAACTAATGACTCTTAATTATAACTAAAGGAGGAGTTCTGGCTTCCCTGCTACTGAGTGCTGACTCACAGCAACCCTATGTAGAGTTTCTGAGATTATAAATCTTTACAGGAGCAGAAAGCCTCAACTTTCCCTTAAAGAGAGGCTGGTAGATTTGAACCAGCAACCTCATAGAGAGAAGGGATAAACTTTGTATAGTTAAGTTAGTGAACTAGTGTATAAAGGCAGCATCTATTGGGTAATTGTTATATTGCAACCTGGCTCTATTAAAACTTGGAATACTCTAGTAAAAGGAAGAGGAAGTATTAGTTGTATTAGCTGCAAATGTAGAATTTAGGGATTCCCAAACTCAGAAGAATTACCCATGTTCTGTTCCTATAGCTCAAAAATATCACTGATTTTAAATTGCTGGAAATGATGAATGTAAGAGTCAGCATATTACTGGAGGGAGGGTATGTCTGTTAAAGGCTTGTTCAGAAGTAGACTTGGAACAAACGTTGCACTGGATATTTTAAAGTCAAACACTCAAATCTGCTCTTGACATGTATCTTCATCCTTAGACTTAAACAATGTAAACCAGCTGCATTTTGGGGGCAATCTGTACATTATTCATGGAGTATGGGACTAATAATATTGACTTGAGGAGTCCGAGTGTGGCATGTGGGATAAGCACTTGAATGCTTGACTGCTAACTGCAAGACTAGTGGTTCAAACCCACCTGCCTCTCCTTGGGAGACAGATAAGGCAGTCTGCTCCTGTAAAGAGTTATAGTCTCAGAAACTCTATATTGAGTCGCTATGAGTCAGAAGGAGTCCTGGTGTGGCATTGTAGGCTAAAGCACTGGACTGCAAGGTCAGTTTGAACCACAAGGTTGGTGGTTCAAACTCACCAGCTGCTTTTTGGAAATCCTACACAGGGTCACTATGAGTCAGAACCAACTTGACAGCAATGAACAACAACATGAGTTGGAATCTGCTCAATAGGAGTGGGTTTGGTTTTGAGTTTAGTAACTTCCAGGCACTTAGGGAGATAAGATTCCGTTATGATCATAGAGTTTTTGCTGATTTTTGGAAGTGGATTTCCAGCTCTTTCTTCCTAGACTAGCTTAGTCTGAAAGTGTTCGTGAAGCCTGTTCACCATAGGTGACTCAGCACTTAACAACAACTGCAATCTAATCGGCTTGAGGACAATGGGGGCAATGGGTTCCTACTCAACTTCCTATTCCTGGATTATTTCCATCATCAGCAGGAAACTAGAATTAGAGAGGCATTGACTTTGGAGACAAAACTAACCTGACTGATACACGTACCTCCTTCAATGGCCAGCCAGAGACCAGCCTTGGCAAATTTCTTCATTAAGCATCATGACCCACTACATGATATGAGGATGGTGGTGTTGTTAAGTGCCGTTACGTCTGTTCTGACTCATAATGACCCTGTGTAGGGTTTCCAAGGAACATCTGGTGAGTTTGAACTGCAGACTTGTGGTTCAAACTGACCATGCGACCCAGTGCCCCACCAGGACTCCATGAGATGAACGAGAGATATGTGAGGGCCGTGGGTTTTACTGTTCCATTCTAATCACCCTCAGTGGCTAGAACAGTGTCTGGTATCCAGTTGTTGTTGTTAAGTGCCATTGAGTTGATTCTGACCCATATGACCCTGTATAGGGTTTCTGAGTAGCAGCTGGTGAGCTTGAACCGCCGACTTTGCAGTTCAAATGGCTTTGCAGTCTGGTGCATTAACCCACAGCGCCTCAAAAATTAATTAATTGTTGAAAGAACTAATAAACAATCTATGCATTCTATATGCATATATTGGAAAAGATAGGTGTTCAAAGCATTTGTTGAGTGAATGGATTATTTTTAACTGATATTGAAAGAGAAAATAAGGCCAATTTAAGCACATTTAATATTTTAGAAAAATTGAGTTCTAAAAGTCTGAAATTCCCCCTAACATAGGGGTGAAATAAAGCTAACATTCTCAGCTTTTTCAATACGTACTTGGTTAAATCTGCAATCTACGTTTTCCATAAAACCCCAGGCCAATTACCAGTGGAAGGTGACCATTATACTTTGTGATTCAGAAAGCTATGTGCCTCATGCTAATAATTACTCTTTATAAAAATAATTTTTAGCGAATGGATACGTTTTGCTTTTATGATCAATGAGGCTCGACACACACCCGGGAGTGGAAATGTACTAGATAGAAAGACAATTAATGATGACTTGAAGCGGTAATTTCAGAACCCCAGCAGGAGACGAGAGTAGCTAAACTGTATTTGAGGGAAGTGAGGGAAATAGGATCTTTTATGTATTCTCTTCATGATCAGAGTACCTTGTGATATGAAATGTTTTAAAAAGTAGAGCAAAAATTTATTTAAAAAAATGTTTGCTTCCTGTCTCCCTCTCTTTTCCATCTTTTCTTCCTCCTTCCCTCATATTCTTTTCCCGTCTTTCTTTCCTCGGTTCATCCTCTCCCTCCTTTATCTCCATCCCCTCCTCCTTTTCATTATTTCTATCCCTAAAAACAAAACGAAACAACAACATGACCCCAAACACTAGTCCTGGAGAAGCCAGCTGTCTGGCCCAGGGGCCCCATCACTCTGGTTCTGATTGAGACTTTGCCAATGAACTTCTTGGTAAGTCTGAACAAGCCACTTTACTTCTCTGGGTTTCAGATGGCAAATGAGGATGCACAATTAGATGTTCCTTAAGGATATTTATACTTCACACATTCCCTGTCTCTCAGTCCCAAATCATGGTCAGAATAGCCCCAAATCAGCTACTTTGATAGCTGATAAATGAATGATCGATCGTCTCCTATTTTGTTACCTCACTTCATCCCCCCTTCCCCAACAAGGACTCCTGGGGTGGTGATGTAGGAGAAGTACTGCACTGCTGACCACAAGATCAGTGATTCAAACCCACCCACTGCTTCTTGGAAACTCTCCACAGGGTCACTGTGAGTCATTTCCCCTAAAGATGCAGTCTAAGGAGGATGAAGAAGGAGGAACGAGCGTGTACCTGGGGGTGCCACCATCCGCTGCCACTTCTGGAACAAGCAGGTCTTCAGGCAGTCACGTGGACTGAGGTTGTAGGTTTTATGTCTGGACATGAGTTCTTGCATTGGCTCCAGTATTACACACAACTGCAAAGAACCAAAGGCATCCGTGTCTCAGCACTTGATAATAGTAATTGTAACAAATCATGTTAACAGCTGGAATCAATTAGAAAGCTGAAGGATACTGTTCTTTTTTTTTTTTTTTTTTTCCTCCTCTGAGTTTGATTTTCTCTCTACACATTTGGAGGAAAAGAAATATTACCAACACTGGAGTCTATCTGTTGAACGTAGTATCATTTATAATGTAACATTATAATTGGGTGTGATTACTGTACACACACGCACACACACATCTGCAGATACTTCTATGTTCCAGGGCGTATAGCCTGCATGGATTCTGCCCTGTGTCTGGCTCCTGCTGGTGTTTGCATAACCACACACTGGGTGTTCTAAAGCCAGCTTAGGCCTAGATCACCTAGCATTAAAATCCACCTTGGAAACCTTGGAGAACAAGTGCCAACAGTGGACACTTGCCCAACATGAAACCCATTTTATTTGACTCCAGTACTCATGTATTTCACACATGCTAAAAATGTAAATAACAACAAAACTAAATAACACAACCCAATATTTGCTTAGCGAGGGAAGTTTTCCTACGGCTCTCCACACCGTTACCTTGTTCTCGCCTTTGGCCAGATGCTTTCAGCTTGATTTTGGTCTAAGATGTCTAATGACAAATATTGATAAAGAAAACAAGAAGGTTTGCCTTGGATTTTTCTGAAATGTTTCTTGGTTGGAAGAGAATAAAGAGTAAAGAGTAAATAAAGTAAATAAAGAATAAAGAGAATACAGAATGTTCCTTCATTGTGATCTCTGTATCAAAGAGAGTGAAGACCACACATAACACAGGATGGTACATTCATTGTGGTTGCAATTGTTTATGTTGTGTGCTGTCTAGCTGATTCTGATACACAGTGGCCTGTAAAACTATCCCATAGGGTTTCCAAGATTGTACTCTTGTGGTGCTGTAGGATAAGCACTGGACTGCTAGCCACAGGGTTGGGAGTTCAAATCCACCAGCCACTCTGTGGGGAGACAGAGGAGATTATCTTCTTCCTTAAAGATTTACAGCCTCGGAAACTCAGCACGAGATCACTATGAGTCTGAACTGACTCAACAGAATTTGCAACAATCTTTAATGAAGGACCCCCAGTGCGCTACAGGATAAGTTGTTGTTGTTAAGTGATGTTGAGACAGTTCCGACCCATAGCAACCCTGTATGGGGTTTCTGAGGAGCAGCTAGTGAGCTTGAACCATCAACCTTGCAGTTCAAACGGCTTTGTAATCTGGTGCATTAACTCACAGCATCACACCAGGAATCTGGACTGTTAATCCGAAGGTTGACAGTTCAAACCCACCAGCTGCTCCGAGGGAGAAAGATGAGGCTTTCTGCTCCGATGAAGACTGGCAGTGTCCGAAGCCCTATACAGGGCTGCTGTGAGCCAGAATCCACTTGCCGGCAGTGGGTTTCGGTTAATCTTTTAGGAAGCAGATGGCTGCATTTTTCTCCCTTGGAGTGACGTTTGCTTCCCACCATAACCTGTGCACTTGCATTGATAGTGATTCTGATCATTGCTAGGAGGAAAATCATCATTTTATTCTGAAGGAGAAATGTCCAGCTTTCTAGGTATCTGATTCCCTTCGGCCAGTCCTCACTATGTGCAGTTCCCAGAAGAAGCCAAGTTGCTTTTGTCTCTCTACTTGGAATTCTCCCCTCTTTCTGGCTTAGGCCCACACAAGGTTGACACCCTAGCTCATTCTGCTCAGGTTTCCGCCCTGACTGTTCACCTTTCCCAACACAGGCTGACTTGGAAGCTGTGCTTACATACTCCCAGAGCACCCCGTCCTTTCTGCTCTGATGACTGATTTATTCACAGTGTAACCATCTCCTTCCAAGTCTGTCTACTTCATTAGATCATGAACGTTGTCTTTTATCTGTATCTCCAGTCTTGGCTCAGGTGAATTGATTCTTAGAAAGAGCTGAACATCTTTCTATGCCAATGTTCCTCTAAGTGGGGTCTAAAGAACACGTCCATCAGGAACAAATGAGTTGCTTATTCAAAATGCAGGTCCCCAGGCCCTGCCCCTTCTGTTTCACTGAGTCTAGAGGAAGGCCCCTGAGTCTGCATTTCTCAAAAACATAAACAAAACAAACAAAAATCCCAAACCAGTTACCATCAAATCAATTCTCACACACAGTGACTCCACATGGACCAGAGTAGAATTGGGTTACATAGAGTTTTCAATGCCTGATTTTGTCAATGCCTAGATTACTAGGCCTTTCTTCTGAGTATTTCTAGATGAATCTGAACCAACTTCTTATTCAAAACTATACCATCATGTAATTCTGAAAAACATTACTGATGTCTGAAGCTCACTGCCCTACACATTCTGGACCCGAAGAAGGATAATAGAGAATGTATGGTATGCAGATTTCCAGTTATTTCCAACTCTGATTCCACTCCCTTCTTGCCTATCCCAATCCTCTGCCATGTCCTCTTATCATGTCTAAATAAACCATAGCCTTAATTGAGAAGAAAATAATAACATTCTGCCTTTTTATCTATCAAAGATAATCAATCTTCACTCAAACCTAACCCCATGTAAGGGTCAACTGTAATTTCCTTCCATTTACAATGTCTCTGGGCTGAAACAGGAAGATTTCGAAGTCTATAACACAAGGATGTTGAGATGAAGTTATCCAACGCCGTGTGAATGAGGCTGGAAATGAACAAAATCTGGATGAGGTATGACAGATCTTACGTCTTGTGCATTTTCTTGCTTACTTTGAAGACCTTTCTGCAATCTAAAGTATTTTAAAGAACAATTGTTTTAAGAAGACGTGTATGTGGGGAGGAGGGTTATTTTACTATTAACTCCATATTCCATTGTGAAGATTTGATGTGCTCATTCATGTATTGGGAATTTATTGCTGGACATCAAGGTGTGCACAAGCTGAAGGCAACTTCACTGCCTCTGCCGGTCACTGGGACTCCAAGGACCATACAATCATCTTTATGCAGAGGGCTATGAATGGATTATCCATCAAAGAAGAGGCACTTGCTAAATTCAGGCTGGATCAGAAGATGGTTACTTCTATTATGATGTCAGGACAGTGAGAATAATAACTTTCAGAGAAATGTTAAGGGCTGGGAAAAGGCTTTCAAATCATTTCCTTTAGATCCATTTCATTGAGAAATGAACTTACAATGCTGGGAAGACATGTGGGGACTGGAGCAAGCGTGGACTCAAAAGCCAGAGAGGCTGATGTATATGGATGGTGGTTCTGTTGCCAGATGCATATCCTTGAAGGAACCTGAGGAATTCTAGGTCTCTGTTTGATCCGCAAGGTCAGAGGTTCAAACTCACCAGTTGCTCCTTGGACATCGTATGTAGGGTCGCTATAAATGGGAACTGACTCAATGGCATTTAACAACAGAATAACAGATACATAGGATACCTAATGGCTATTCAACAAACAGTAGGTAAGTCAAAAAGTACTACTACAAAATCATAGACACACTTATTAAACAAAAATTCTAAAAAGTGAAACTTTACTGGTGTGATGCTGTAGGATAATGCACTGGACCATGAAGTAGACTTGAATGGCAAGGTTTGTGGTTCAAATCCGCCAGCTGCTTCTCAGAAACCCTACACAGGGTCACTATGAGTCGGAACCAACTCAACAAAAAATTCTGCACTCTCTGATTGACACCATGCCAAAATGGTGTTTAGTCATCCTCGAAGGACTCAAATTGTGTTTCTTTACCATGTTCTTTGAGTTTGGTGACGAAAAAGAAGTTTGAAGGGGCAAGGTCAGCGCTATAGGGCAGGTGGGATAAGGTTTCCCAGTGAAATACTCATACAACAGCCCTGGCTACCCTTGAAGAATAAACATCTGCATTGTGGTGATGGGAAAAAAATTCCTCGATGCAAATTATTTGGCCCTCACCAATGCAGTTTTTACTTTTCTTAAAACTTTATAACATAGTAAGTCTCCATGATCATTCTGTGTCCTTCAAGCAAACTCATGAAAATAACCTCTTTGAAATCTTAAAAATCAATCCCATAGCCTTCAGAGTTGACTTCTTTGCCTTGATTTGAATGGGCTCAGCAGAAGCCTGCAGAAATCACTGTTGAGATGGGACAAACTCACTTAGCTTGGAACAAACCTGTGTGCGTGTGAACTGCAATCCTAGTAACAAAGCTTTTAGGCTTCTCCTCATATCTTGGCAAGGGCTGCCTAGATTGCAAAGCCCCCTCATTTCTATTACTTTAAATCAGCCAGTGTTTATGCAGCAGCTGGTAAGTGACAGGCATGCTGCTTAGGTGCCAGGATAGAGATGAAGGTGGTACCACCTCGTTCCTCTGAGACTATTCAGTTTCCTTGAAATGTTTCAAGCACATTAAGAAAACTATCCCATGTTTTCCCTTCAAGCATCTCAGGAAATCACATTTTTCTGCATTAAATGTGTTTTCTTATATGATAAGATCGACAGCAATAGGACCTCTTTGGACCTAGAAGAGGCAATCAGTTTTGAACATGTTTGGGAACAGGAGAGTTTTATCTATTATGGGAACCCCTGAGCTTGTTACCTTTATTTTTACAGTGCAGTTCCCTCTTTGGGGTTTGGACAGTACTGTGGTCAGGTGCGAATCTTCAGAATTTATCCCTTCTCCTTTAATATAAAAATATCTTCTCATCACTGTCACCCACCCCCAAAGGAGCTTGCATCTCCGAATGCTAATTATGAGTCCAGCAAGTCATTTCTCTTCTGTGGAAGGTTGCTGGGCCCTTCCCTTATTCATGTATGCAAATGAGCCTCCCTCCAGATCTCTGATGGGAGCCTCTATGGCTTTGCTGGGCTGGATGCTGTAGATGGCAGGCCTCGCCCAGATGAGAGTCTGCCTTCCCAACAACAGCCAGCGCATCCTGGCAGCAGCAAAGACCTGAGGCATTAAGAAATGAAATCAGGAAGAAGGCTGGGGGGAGTGAGTTCCCACTGCCACTCAGTTTTTGGAGTCAG